CTAGGAGAAATATGTATGTCTATTATATATTTCTTCAGAATTCATAAAAAGGCGTTATACGGAGAGAAACACAAGAAAACATCCATGTCACATAACCAATAGAAGAAAATGAAAAACCATATACGAATTTATTTCCATTGAACAAATAGATCATTTCTTGATGAGAATTTAAATCTAGATGATCTGTTACCTTGACATTTGATAATCAAACTTCGAAGTTTTATCATATTTTCAGCAATATCAACAGCCAATATTTCATTAGCAATAGGAATAATTAAAACTTCACATTGTTTTCCCAATGCTGAATTGATTAATGCAGAACATTCATTACGTTCAAAATATTGACGGCAAGTTACACGTAATTCAGTAAAATGAAGTCGACGAATTGATTTACTTTTCAATTTTTGAAATAATATCATATTCAAATCATTCCAATTAGAAAATTTCAATGAATAAAGATGTGGTGTTTGATCAAGAAATTTTTGTAATTGAAAATAAACATTATTTTCATTTCCATTAATACTTATATTAAGTGAAATCAATTGATTCCATGATGAAATAATTGACCAAAAATAATTACCTATAGGAAGAGCAATATCAAGTTCATGAAGATTAGTTAAACGAATTGGAAAATTATCAAAATCATTAATAAACATATTATTACTATTGATATATTCAAATTTTCGTATATTATTATACGACCAATAATCTTGTTCATTTCGACACGTAGATTTCGATGAATGTTGATTTAAATAAAACATATAATTAAATGCATAAGGTAATGTATAAATAATACCTGAATTTGATGAATTCCATTCACATCGAACAAACCATTGATGTTCTTCAAGCCAAAATGAACTTCGAAATCAATTAAGTATTTCATTAATTTGTTGTTCAAGATTTATTTTAGAAAATTTAAGATGCATTCGAAATTGAAAAATTTTTATATTAGGTAAATTTAAAACAAATAGATTTTCCCATTCATATCCATTTAAATAAATATTAATAAGATCTAATTTTAAATCATATAAATTAGGCATATGTTGTAAAATATTTTTTAACCAATCATTTGTACCATAATAACGAAGTTTCAATGAAACTATCGATGACATTGTAATAAGTGGTGGTTGATTACTTGATGAATATATTAAATTCCAATTGAATCGTTGAAGATTTGGTGTATAATGAATTAATTGAGTTAAATTTCTGAAATGATCACTAGTATCTATTGAAAGATATTCAATAGTTTGTGATATTACTGATATTTGAGCCAACTGTATGGAAAGTCCATGACAATGATCAAAATTACAATGTGTCACTTTCTTTAGACTCCAAATTTCGTTCAGAGCAACAATTTTTCTACCATATTTAAGTTCTAAATTACATTGAATTATGTTTAAATGTGTAAGATATGGAAGTTGATGTAATTCAAGAATTATTTGATCTATTGTCGAAGCTTCTTCAATCGAATAAAGAGATAATGATTGTAAATGATTGAATTGACGAATATGAAAAATATGTAAATAAGTTCCATATAAAATGTATGGTGTTTCATCATCATGTGATATGCGTAGTAACGTAATTCGATCAATAATAGTTGGAAGATATTGATAACAGATTAGATTGAAATCATTTTTCGAAATCGATCGCAAATCTAGATGATAGGTTCGAATACGACTGAAAATTAATTGATTTAAACGAAAGTTAAGACCAGAGAAAGCATGAATAAGAGTTACTGTATCGAATGATTCAAATAATTCAAGTATTATTTCATTGGCTAATTCTTCGAATTTCATCATGATATTACAACAAAAGAGTTTGTCGAAAGAAAAGTCTGTTTTTTTTTCTATTAGATTGCCAACTTGCACAACATTTTTTTCTCTTTCTATCACCGACTGAATTATCCAATCAAATCGACGAACGCAGCACTTATTAAAATAAAATGAAAATGTTCCTTTTTTTTTCATCGTTTATTGACAATAAAATGTGCGTGATGAATTCTGATGAAATACTAATGCACACAGAAATTTGTGGTGGATGTTTGGTCAATAGAAAACACACAAAATAGTTGTCATAAATCAAGTTCGGCTTTTGATCAATCACATTTTTTCTTATATGAAATTTCAAATAAAATAAATTTTATTTTACACAATGAAAGATGCACTGTTGTGAACTGCGCATTGAACTTTGTGATCAGGTTTCTTCAAAGTTTTAAATGAACATGAGTGTTTCATCTGCATCACAGAAAAAATTTTATAATCTGTTAAAATTCATTAAAAAGCAGTGCTGGTTCATTAATCGTTATTTCATGACTAGCGTGAGCCCGTTCATACTGCACGGCTGTTTTCTCCTTTAACGTATGACCTCAAACCTTTAATCTTTCATCTAGTAACAGACATACACACACTCGATATTATGTCTATAGATAGATAATCCTACAGCCTCATACTCATATATTGCACATATTTTTATAGTCCATGTAACCTTTGCTCTTATAGCCTTATATCCCTTATAGCTCTTGTAACCTTATTATCTTACTCCCTTCAAGGCCTGAGGGTACCCCATAGAACGGTCCTTGAGGACCTATGAGCACCCTCATAGGATAGTTCTTGAGGACCCATGGGTACCCCATATAGTAGCCCTAGGGGACTTCCCCTTATAGCCTTATTCGACCTTTAACTTATAACCTTTGACCAGGCGCAGACATATACTCAGACACTGAACATTATATATATAAATATTTGGTGGATAGTGATTCTTCTGAAAAATCAAAAGATGTGGATTTACATAATATATTGACTATTTTACTCTGATTGCTAATGTATAAATGTCATGAAATCGCGAGGAACAAACAAACCACGAAAATATTTGAAATATTTCAGTTTCTTCGAAATCAATAGTAAATAAAAGATTATCTCACAAAGCAGGAATATATTGAACACTGCAAGACTGAACTAAATCGCGTGTATTGTTCAGAAGCTATAATCAATTTCTAGAAAGCGCTTTCAATACTTTGATACAGCACCTTCAGATGACTTTGACAGTAAAGAAAACAAACAATAGCACGAAGTTCAGGGTCATAATTTACGGCACCTATCACTGCATCAGTTTTGACGTTAGTGCTTCCTAAGGTTTCCTATTTTTTGTGTTCGATGAAAAGTCAGATCGATATTCACTTACTTTTAGAGCTAATTTTGTATAGTTTCACTTGCATTGTATGTTGATACTTGTTCTCATTAAACTTAGATTAATTCTACGACTATCCATGACATCTATAAGCAGTACTTCTTATTACGAAAGGTGAATATTATGGATCAATCGTCGCTTCTATTCGAAGAAGAAGACATCGATGCAAAGCAAAAACTGTTTTAATCACAGGTAGAAATACTGGTATTAGCTAGCAAAAGATCTTCTTCAACGAGATTTTTAATTCAATCATCTCAATATGTTTTAATATGAGTAAATCGATAATTATAGATGTTCGAGTCATAATTGCTTGACAAAATTTAAGTAAAGGACATCCGGTGATAAAGAAACTTCTTATCGAAACTTAATCTAATAAAGTTAATATTCAATTGATGGAATGTGATTTGTGTTCATTAGATTCGATTCCAATTTTTGTCAGATTATATCATGAAGAAGAGCAAAAATTAGATGTTTTGATTTCTAATGCTGATCTTACTTTGTCATCACCTATTATAACTAAAAATAGTTCTAATTATCTTGGTCATTTTCTTTTGACAAATCTTTTATTAGAAAAATCGAAAAAATATCGACCAAATTGAATTATTAATGTTTCATCTAATATTCATAAAAGTAATACAATGATTAATAAAATTTTTTTTTTGTTTTTTTTTGCGTATATGAAATTTAGATGTACGATCAATTGAGTGATCAGATGCTTTTACATAATTCGGAAGTTCTCGTTGGTTCGGTGCTTATCCATCATCGAAACTATTTTAAATTCTATCGACATTAAAATTGAAACAGAATTTATTTGATAGATTAAACATCAACTGAACGACTATGAAAGATAAGTCATGCAGCTGTTAAACTTGAATAATTAGATAAGAGCGTTGAAATGATTTTCTACAAACTATTATCAAAAAAAGAAATAGAGTGATTAAAGTGTTTTCTGAATGAAATTAATTTTACTTTTTTTGGTGTTGTTCTATCCAATTGTAAAAAGAAGAAGCAAAGTGTATTTTAAAATATTGGAAAGTTTACGATAAAAAAACTTCAATATTGCCACTTTGTTTGCATCCATTTGGCTATATAATTTATCTCATAATGATCGAGAACTTTTCAAAAGCTTCTATAATCAATTCAATTGATCGAGGCTGACTCGATCTTACTCAAATCCAAGACTTCTAATCCTGAAAATAGCTGAGATATTATTAGAGGATGATGATGAATACATTTAGTCAATAATTTAAATTCTACGAACTCTATTTAAACTAATAGAATTAACTTCAAAGTACATTGGTAAACAGATTTTTCTTAAATACAAATTCAAAGATTTCACCAAGAAAAGAATTTATTTTCATTGATTTACACTTTAGTTACGTAGAAGGATGAATTTTAACTTTCAAATTAAGTGAAATGAATATGACTAATTTCTAGGGAAATTTCGGTACTATAAAAAAGTATAGTTTTCATTTATATTACTTCATAAATTGCAAAGAATAAATTAAGATTAATGGTTTTTATCAGAGCTAATCATATGTTCTAAAATAGCTTGAAAATAGACTGTTATAACATGATAAGGGATCTAAGTTTCGTCTTCTCATTAAGAAAGATATCTACATTGAAAAAGTAGTTCACTAAAATATCTTGTTATTCATTTTTCATCAAAAAAAATTCCATTTTTCAGTTTAAAAATCAGTGCTCAAGAGTAATTTCTAATGCTGTATTTAAAGAACGTATCGAATTTCCCATAAAAAGTTTGATTTGATTAGAAAGAAGGTGACGAAAACTCTCTAGAGTAAATAATGAAGTCGCTTGATGATAGTTACGAATTGTTTTCATTGTCAGGATTGAAAGTAGCGTTTCGATGATAAAAATCTAACACATATATCATGCTGTCATTACAAAATGTTGCCATTGCTAAACGGTTCATGAAAACGTTTGTCTCATAATTTCTTTTTAACAATGAATACCAGTTTGCTTATTCTGAGGAATTTAAATTCAATGTCAGAAGAAATAAACGTTGAGGTAAACATAATCAATCGCAGAATTTCATTGAAAATTTCCACAGTTTTTATCAAAGAATTCTATTAATTTTATTTCGTCTTTAAAAAGAAACAAACTTCATGCTAATTCTATTCAAAAATTACTAATATCAATAAATGAAAAGCATTTCTTTATTTCATAAATTATAACTTAAAACATTCTATATCATTAACTTAAAAATGAAACAATTCTTTCTTTGGATTCATAGAGAAAAAACTTTTTCAATCTATTTTTTCAACTTTATTAAAGTTTGATTTTCTTTTTGAAAGTTTTTATTAAAATTAGAGTATCTCAGCAATTTAAAACTATGATATTAAAAATATCCAATATTGTGAATAAAAAAATAAACATTTGAAGAAAAAAACAAAATCTTTACATTGTTATTTAAATTTAATTCTTTATTGTTATTTTTAGTGAGTTTTTATTTTTTCTAGTAAGTTGACGAATTTTCTGCTCGATTCCTTGACGACGTGGATGATCAGCAGGAAGAAACTTCTCATACATAGCCAATGCACGCTGATAATAGTCAAGTGCCAGCTTTCGCTTATGTTGATTTTCATAACAAAGGCCAATATTATTCAAACTGGAAGCAATATCGACATGACCAGATGAATGAAATTTCTCTTGAATTTCCAATGCTCGTTGATGATGATCGAGAGCTTCGGCATACTTTTCTTGATTATAGAGAATTTTACCAATGTTGTTGAGAATTGTCGCAATATCGACATGACCAGATGGATAAAATTTCTGTTGAATTTCCAATGCTCGTTGATAATAATCGAGAGCTTCATCATACTTTTTTTCATCGGATAGAATATTTCCAATGCTATAGAGACTTTGAGCAATATCGATATGACCAGATGGACAAAATTTCTCTCTCATTTTCAATGCTCGCTGATAATAGTTGAGAGCTTCATCATTCTTTCCTTGAACGAAGAGAATAAGACCGATATTGTTAAGGCTATGAGCAATATCAATATGACCAGATGGATAAAATTTTTGTCTAATTTTTAATGCGTGTTGATAATAATCGAGCGCTTCATCATGCTTTCCTTGATCAGAAAGAATATTACCAATGTTATAGAGACTTGCAGCAATATCAACATGATCAGATGGATAAAATTTCTTTCGAATTTTCAATGCTCGCTGATGATAGTCGAACGCTTCATTGTAGTTTCCTCGATCGGAGAGAATAAGACCAATGTTGTTGAGACTTGCAGCAATATCAACATGATCAGATGGATAAAATTCCTCTCGAATTTTCAATGCTCGCTGATAATAATCAAGAGCTTCATCGTACTTTCCTTGATTATCAAGAATAACACCAATATTGTTGAGAACACGAGCAGAATCTTTCACTCGTGCTGGTTTACTCTTCATCATTCGATCATATGCATGATCATAATATTCTCGCGCTTGATCCCATTCACCTTTATAATCAAGAGCTCGACCAATATTAAATTCAATCCAAGAGCGATCTTCATTTTGAGAACTGTTGAATAAATATTGAAAATATTTTTGTGATTTATCATATTCACCTAAATCACACAATAATCGTCCAAAAATA